GGACCTCTGAGATCATGATACCTAATATTAAATTTAATATTTCTCTTTAGTGTGTTGTACTTCCCTCAAGTAATTGAGATCCAGAGAGGATAATCAACCTGTCCAACCTCACACAGCTAGTAAGTGGCAGGCTGAAATTCAAACCTGCACCAGTAGAATCCAGATCCACTCTTTTAGCCACTAAACGATACCAAAGAGACTTTTAAACTTTTCTTATTACAATAAGTAATATTATAATATTTCTTATAATGATAAGAAGTACTTCTTGGATCTATACACATATTTATAATCAAAACAAACCTTTCACTAATCAATATTACCCATATTCCCTGTAATGCAGCATGATCTATTCTGTTCTGTTCAGTTTATTTCATTTCATTACACTCCCTTCCATACGCTGGATCAACATTAATGGGTTGGTTTCCAGTTTCAAATAAAAACCACTGCTAAAGACAAGGACTTACTTTAAGGGTTAATAAAGTACATAGCTCTGATTTGCCAGGGAAAACTCAGAAAGTGAGAAGAAAAGACAGAAGAAGCCACTTTCTGTCTTTTGGGGATTTTAATAATAAAACAGCTTTGGATCGTCCACTTCAGATTGTTTCAGCAGGCGTCCTCCAGCAGGTTTCTTACCTTTCAGCTGGCATTGATCAAGCGTGGAAGTTATTTTGCCCCTCTGGGAGTACATCTTAGTTCTCTGTATACTGTGGAGGGCAGGGTAGGCCCTCAGTAAATGCCGCATGAGTCAAATGAAGGGTTGGACTAGAGAATCTCAGGGTCTTTTCTGCTCTGATATTCTCTATTAAGCCACTGAATAAAGACAGATGCACCATTTACTTCTGGGTCAGTATCAACAGCAAAAGAAAATCCTGGAACTGTTTCTTGGGCAATAAACAGTTTTCCAGAGTTGCTCTCTTAGGCTGCTCTGCCACTGAGGGATTAAAGAAAAATGCCCGCCACCCCTCACTCCAGTATTTCCTGTTCTGTCTTGTGGTTGACTCAAAACATTTTCAACTCCCGCCTCCCCAGTTCTCACCGTCTCTCCTTCATGGTTAAAGAGGTTGTACATTTGCAAAGGAAATGATTAAGCAAATCCAGAGATCTTGGCCATGGGACCTGATTTTTCAAGGCCCTAGTTTTTGAGAGCTGGAAACTCTGTCTGCTGAAGGATTTCCACGTGAGTTTTTAGCCTTAGTCAGGGCTGGGGCATAATTTCCTGTTTTTGTATTCTCAAAACTGCTAAGCTACTTGTGAACAGGCCAGCAAAGATAGGGAGGGGGTGGGGCATGTAGAGAGAGGGCTGTGAGCCAAGAGGGCAGAAGAACGGCTTTTGCTCCTTCGTTCTGGCAGGACCTCTGTGAAAGATTTTTTTTTTTTTTTTAAGACAGTGAAGTAGAGACTACAGAAAGATTCTAGACATTGAAGGTTGGGGTATGACTGGTAAAGAACAGAAGAAATGGGTTCTAGCAGGAATTTTAAATGAGCTGACAGACACTCAAAGAATAGTTGAATCTCAAAATGTTTCCAAAAGCATGAACATTTATTAGGTACTTATTATGTGCCAGGCACAGTGCTAACTGCTTTGCACAAAATATATCATTGTATCCCCATAGCAACTCAGGGAGGTGGGTTCTGCTATCATCTCCATTTTATGGACGTGAAAGTGAAGCTTGAAGAAGCTCATGAACTTGCTCAAGGCCACATGGTGCCAGCAAACAGCAGAACTGGGACTCCAGCCAAGGCTGTTGCAACCCAGCGCCTGTGCTCCTGACCACTACTCTGTTCTGAAGTTAAAGAAGGTAATGGAGATGTCACCATGACCATAACATATGTGCTCATTTACCTGCTTCTGTTTAAGTTCAACCAGTGGAAGTCACTGATGCTGAGATATTTTTCCTGCCGCCCGCCCCATCAACAGAAAGGCAGCGCTTCCACAGAGCCCTTCTCTGGTCCCAGCTACCCTCAGGCAGCCTCCCCCCAACCTACATGGTCTAGTTCCCATAGGTCACCCGGGCTCTCTGGCTCCAGCCACATTACCTCTTTCCTTGTTTGCCTGTCTCTAACGGTAGTTCTGTTTCAGATCTATTTCTCTTTCTAGTCTCTGGGTGGCCTCACTGCCCCAGGTTTGCCTTTTCAGTTCCTCCAGCAGCTTTAAACCTAGTGCCCATATTCATTTCCCTCTATTAAATTACTTGGCATGGGCTGGGTTTTCCTAAGTGAGACATAGATCTTTGTACCTTCAACACAGATCCTGAAACAAGAACTTGGATGCAGATAGTTTATTTGGGAAGCAATCTCAGGAAGCACAAATGAGGGGGGGTGTGTTCATGAGTATGTCACTACTGTGGGCAGCTACGGTTCAGTCTTGCTGAGTGAGGACCTTGTGGGAATGTGTAGAAGACACCTCCAAATTGTCCCACTGAGAGATGGGGAAGCTGAGATATTTATCAGCCAGCTCCCATCCTCATTGGTTGAAGGTTGTCTCTGGGGGCATAAAATTGCAGGCATTTCCAGAATGCCCTGCAGGTGGGCTGAACAAGCTCCCACAGTCCCTGGAGAAAGCCACCAAGAAGAAAAGCAAAAAAAAGAGGAGCCTTTGAGGTGAGAAGCTGTCAGTGCTGCAGGTGAACTCAGAGGTGGGCTGAAGAGAATGGGGTGGGGTATCCACAGCATCTGCTACCATGGCAACCTGGCTGATTTTACAAGAAGATACAATCAAGGAAAGCCAAAGGCAGACCCAAGTCCCCTGCCCCAAAATTCTGCTTTACTTTAGAAGGGGCTGAATGCCAGAGATAGTCAGCATTTTTCCTTTCTTCTCTTCCCTCCTTTCTCTCTCTCTATCTCTCCCTTTTTTTTTTTTAGATGAGCCAGCAACCAACTGGTTACTAGGATGATGAGAGATGGGGACCAAGTTTAAGTGTGTCCCATAGACTGGGTGGTTTTTGAGCCCATGGAAGAGAAGACATCACTTCTACCCCAGGCACATGTCATCTGCATCCTCATCAAAAATGCTTCCCTAGCACCGACCCCCTGCCAGACACTACACTTCCATACTATAAATGCACTGTTCCATCTACTCTTCTCAGCACCTCTCTGAGATAAGTGAAAATATTATTCCCATCCTACAGAGGAGCAGACTGAGGCTCAGAGAGGCCAAGCACCTTGCTCAAGATCTCACAGCCTTGGATCATGGGTGTGAGCCATCTGGGTGGGTGTTGGGGCCAAATTCCAAATCCACATTTATGACACCTGGAAATAAACATTTAGGTGTCCTTTTAAGGGCCAAAGACAGAGGGTTTATCTAAGTGGGTGTTTCTTATAATCTTTAAAGAAGCTTAAAAAGAAAACAATAACACTTTATAATAAATATCTAGCAGATAATACAGTTAATAAATATTAGTTGAATTGAGTTTGCATTAGATCCTCCTGCAGCCACAATACAAATCTGACTACATTGTCCTCCAGCTCAAATCTCTCCCTTGGTTCCCCATTACCCTCAAGAGGCAGTTTATACTTGTCATAACAGATGCTTACTATGCATCCTTGATGACCTGGCCTGTGCCACCTCCTGGCCTCTACTGTCTTGTCTTTCCTCCCCACAGCCTTGCTCCAAGCTCAACAACTTGCCATTCTCTTGTTTGCACTTGCTGTTCTTCCAGGAACCTCTCTGGCCATCCTTATTCATTGTTGGTGAGTTAGCTCAACTGTCACCTACTTGGATGGCCGCCCTCCACCCCTGTGGCCTTGTGGCAGTGCCTTCCTGAGTCCCACACCATCCTGCAGTTTTGCTTCTCTCCTATTGTGATTATTGTCTTTTTGCCTGCCCTTCTTTCCCACAGACGTGCAAGCATGTCTTTACGAGCTTGGGCTGCATTTCCAACCTGCCTCTGCCATGTGCGTCCTTGGGTAAAGTTGCTTTTTCTCTCTGAGCCTTAGTTGCCTCGTTTGTAAGAAGGGCAATAAACAAGGTAATTCAGGTGACGCACAATGGCAGGTGTATGGTAAGGTCCTGTTAACTTTTACTATCTGTGCACTTTCAGTGCTGGTTTTTGGACCAGACACTTAATGGTTTTCAATTTTCTCCTGCATCAGGACCACCTGGAGGGCTTGTTAGAACACACATTATTGGGTCCCGCACCAAGAGTTTTTGATCAGTGGGTCTGGGGTGGGGCTTGAAGATTTGCATTGCTAATAAGATCTCAGGTGATGCTGATACTCTAGTCCTAGAACCACATTTTGAGAACCACTGGGCTGGTCACCTGGGAATGGTAGGTGAGTGATCAAATACTTGGCACTAAAACAAGTTCATACTAGAGCATAAGGCCACTAACTCCCAATGGATGTGACTGCAGGATATTTATCCACTCAACCAATATTTATTTAGTATCTAGTATGTCCAGGTGTTGTGCTAGACACTGACAATGGAGCCGTGAATGAGACAGTCAAGAAGAGCCCAGTCTTGACGGGCTCAGAGTCTGATGGCCCTGCATGGAGGGCAGGGAATCTTCCTTGCACAAGTCCCATCAATCTGAATTGAAGGGGCGTGGTTGGTTTGGAAAATGGCTAACCTTAAGAATACTGACATTAATCATCACTTTACTGTTAATTGCATCATTGTAGCTGCCTTCTCAACACCAATTTCACCAAAATGATCATTCGAAACTGATTATGTTAATCTCATAATCCTCTCGTCTGGAACTGCAGCTGCCCTCTGGTACCAGTCTTAGGATGAAGTCAACCCATGGAACATGGCAGAGCAGAGGATCAGAGTCAGGCTGTAACATAACACCAGTTACATAAAACAATACATTTCATCATCATTATTATTATTATTAGCCAGAACAGAGTCTCAGAGAGTTAAAGCCAAGGCTGTTACATAGCACCTATAGGAAATGATAAATATCCTTATTGTTGTTGTTGTTGTTATTATTATTATTGTTATCAGCCAATTTGAGTAGGGGTTTTCTGTTCCTTGGTGCTAAAAGTTCCCTAGGACAGAATAGCTCTCATTTCCTAAGTGCTTATTATATGCCAGCCACTGCCTAAGCATTTGGAAGGCACCATCTCACCTACGTTCACAGCAGCTCACAAGTAGGCACTATTATTATCCCGCCGTTGAGGGAAGAGACTGAGAGGTTAATTCCCTTACCCTCTGGCTGGGTGTGGAGAGGGGAGAGGTAAGGCTGCCTGTGGAGCGTGATGGGCCAGTAAGGATGACTTAAATCCTTTGCATTGACACCAACTTCAATGTCTTGCAATCACACTTCCTTTCTTGCACGTCTTCCAAGATGGAGCCGACAAGAATGGAAAAACAGGCCAACCTTATCTTTGTTTGGAGGGCTGGGAATCACAGAAGGCAATTGACCTGTCCAGTTTAGCCTTCTTGTTCTACTTCTCATTAAATTGACCGCTTTCTGGAAGTTAATTAACAAACACACTCTCATGCTGCTGCTTTGGCCCAATTTCCTGGTTCTGGCAATCAGGGAAAAAGGCCCGGCTACAGATTGCTCAACCCCAGATCCTGGAGCTCCCCCATGCGGTCAGATTTAGACTAAAATGTGCTTCTGAGAGAATGAGTCACGTAAAGAACAAGCTCCTTCCATGGCAATCATGACCAGAGATGCAGCTGAGGCCATTTTGTCAAGAAGTAATCTTTTTTGGGGAAAAAAAAATATATCATACAGGTGCATGCCAGTCCCTGCTGTAATGGAATGTAACAAAGGAAGCAATTAAATTCAGTTAGGAACCTATAGCTTTAAGTTAGATAATGCATTCAGAAAGCATTTTATAAACTGCAACGTGTGATAATGTAAGGCGTTATTATTATTATCCTTACGTCTGCGAAGTTGCATGGGTCACTTCTTCTGTGGCAAGTTAAAGGGCCAGCAGATGGAGAGGCTCACATGAGTGGCTTTCTGGAGAAGAGTGACAGAGGCTAAAGAGTTAAACTCCCCGGAAAACCAATTTATGCAAAGGGCTGCATCCTGACATCCAGGCCTGCGCTAAAGATCTGAATTACAAATTTACAGAATTTGCTTCTCGGTAAGTAATTTCTTTTCTTCCTAATGGAGTCTGTAATTTCCAATGGACTAGCGCCCTGTTATTTTCACTGACAGAGTAAACAAAATCTTGACCACGGAGAAGCCTAATTCTGCTCATCCTGAAAACTGTATTTTTAAAAGGCTTCAAGAGGGACACTGAAAGGATGGTTAAAACTAATACCTATGATCTCACGTTGCTGCAAAGCACATTCCCCAGTTCCCTCATGTTTGTGACTTGGGTAAGTTAACAATTGGAATCATTTTCCTTCCCTTATTTTTAAGGGAAGTAATGTAGCTGATTTTGTTTTTTAAGGCATCAGATCAACTTGGGACTACGTGACATAAGAAATGACATTATCAGATCCAGGTTATAAAAATCTGCTCCCTTCCAGGATCTTTGAGAAGCAGCCAGAGGGAATTTTTTAAGGCATCAGATCAACTTGGGACTACGTGACATAAGAAATGACAGTATCAGATCCAGGTTATAAAAATCTGCTCCCTTCCAGGATCTTTGAGAAGCAGCCAGAGGGACAGATTCCCTTAGAATCTAATTTAATGGGACCTCAGTGCATCTGGACTGTTTGCAAACAAAGAAGGACAATCCAGCTTGTGTGTGTGTGTGTGTGTGTGTGTGTGTGCGTGCGTGTTAGAGAGAGAGGGAGAGAGAGAGAGTTTGTGTTTAAATCCCTGATGTATTGTTTAAAGAGCAAGGATTTTAAGATCCAGCTTGTGTGTTTGTGTGTGTGTGTGTGTGTGTGTGTGTGTGTTAGAGAGAGAGGGGGAGAGAGAGAGAGTTTGTGTTTAAATCCCTGATGTATTGTTTAAAGAGCAAGGATTTTAAAAACACAAGAATTTCACTTTCTCTTTTCCTTCCCTTTTTGGCATCTCTTTTAGGTATGTGCCTCCTTCCCCAAGATGATGAATTCAAGAAGGATCCCACAGGCTGCCAGGAACAACTGTTCTTTTGAATGAACTGTTTTATGGATATCAGTCAAAAAGTCACCATCAGCTGAACTGGAAAGCAGACTTGTGTGTGCATGTGTGTGTATATGTGTGTGTATATGTGTGTGCATGTGCGTGTGCATGTGCATGTGTGTGTATGTGCATGTGTGCGATGGCGGCCATTTCAGCTCAATAGCTCCATTCTTGGAAAGGCCACTTCTTCTTGACATTGGAGAAGATACATTTCCCTGTGCACCTAAAAATAAATAAGTAAATAAGTAAATAAATGACAACAACAACAATAATAATAAAGGCACCTTTGCCCCCTCCCCCAGGTCTGGATTTCTCTTTCTCTCTCTGGGCATTTTGCTGCATCTTACTGTGTGCAAGTGTTGCTTAGCCTCTTTCTCCCATTGTCTGTTCTGTTCTGTTGAGTGGCATTTCTGAGATCTGAACTGGGAAGAACTTCAGTTCCTCTGTGAATCCGTGTCCTAAGGGCTTTCCTGGGTTCACTTGGGGAGTTTCTGCTATTTTTTCTCCCTAGTTCAGCAAGAGGTGTGGAAATTAGTATTTATTGTAAATGCATCAGGAATAGGATCTCGACTCAAAAACAACAACAGCAGCAGCAAAATACACACATAAAACACACAAATGGAGGTTTAACTTGCTTCTTAAGCTACAACTGAATTTAGAGTTCCCACAGTAAGTCATTTTTTGAGTTCTCTCCGGCTTAAATTTTCTTGACCTTTAAAAAAAGGCAGTTTCATTAGAAGACTGTTCTCTTTTTTGGCCCAGGAGGATGGAAAACCACTTATAAAAACTGTTGGCATGCTTTGTGGAGAGATACTTAGCAGAGAACCTCTTTCTTGTTTGGTTTGGTTTGGTGTCTGGGGAGGGGTGCTGGGAGGCTCCATCTGCATTAGTGGCTGGTGAACTCATCCCTGCCTCTGTTTCTCTCCCTCCTGCCTGGGGGCATTTTTCATCTGGGCAAAAATTCCCTGTGCCCAGGGAGGTGAAACTTGCAAGCGATACTGTCACCTTCCTCAATGGACTGCAGCCCTGGAGCTCACGAAGGTCACAGCAGGGAAGCCCCATGGTGCTTGGAGACAAAGGACTAGCCAGCTGCCTGGTTTCCTTGAATCAGCCCATACTCTAATGACGGTGAAGGGGGAGGGAAAGTTACCCCTACCTAGGGTTTCCCCAAGGGTTTTTTTTTTTTTTGCTGCACCATGACAAGTCTTCTGACACGAAGTGGCCTGAAATAGTTTCCAACTGGATGAGGCACAGACTCGAGTAGTCTCCAGAATTGGTCAGGAAGTTTGAAGAAGCTAACCCAAATGCAAGGAAAAGACTTTATTTGAAACCTAGAATTCAGCCCATTCAAGCGGGGAGCTAGCAGGCCTCAGCAGCAAAGGAACCCTCCTCCACCAAGTCTGGGTTTTTAGAGATAACCATTTTTTTCCTGAATACATTTTCCAAATGCTTTTTTTTTTGCCAAAGTCATGATTTAATTTGCCTAAGGGGCAGACTTATCCCTGTACTCTAGGTCCATGTCAGGAGAGTATATTCGATGTTTATTTTCGATCAATGCATGCTGAGTTGCATATGTGATGGATTTGTGAGAGCCAGTGTGTATGTGTGGATCTGTGTTAGTTACGTGTGTTTGTATGTGTGGGTGCATGCATTTATCTATTCCTGCATGCAACGGGTATGTAGAAGTGTGAATGTGTGTGGATGTGTGCAAAGGCAGGTATAAATACATATTGGAACATATATGTGTCGATCTGTAGTGGACATTCCTCATCTTAGGGATGCCAGCTTCTCAGCTCAGTGGGAGCAGCTTGCGGGCCTCATCACTTCCCAAGCCCTCCCATGACTCACAGATAGGAGTACAAAGGCTGGCCTCCTCACCTCAAGGTGAAACCAGTTGTGGGGTGCAATTCATGCTCCAGCTGAGACCAGCCTTTGCCTGACTCCTTCCCTGCCCTCTTCTTTTTTCTTACTCCTTTCCCTGGGAGCCTACTCCCAATGTCACATGAATCCGAATCCCTGTCTTGGGCTCTGCTCCTGGCAGCCTGGCCTAAGACAGCACTTTTATGTATGTGCTGGGTGTGTATATGCAAAGTACACATATACACACATTTGTGTGTGTGTGTGCCCACATACAAGGAAATCCAGGAAGGTTTGGGAGAGAATTATCTTCCAAAGAAGATAATGGAGGAAGAGCATTGATTTTATATTGTGCAAGATAAAACCATCTCAGAATAGGAGAGACCTGCTTTAAAAGTTGAAAATTAAAAGATACTTTAGAAGTAAATGTATTTTTTATTAAATCAGAAAAAGAAAGATACAATATACAGGACTATCAGTCAATCATAAGCTACTTTGAATTACATTTTAATAGACTTGGTCCTATTTACTTCTCTGTACAAGTATTAAAAAAAACTCAGGTATCTGAAGAATCTGTAAATTTTTATTAACTGAGGTTATGGGGAAGGTTTTATCAGAGCACATCCTGAGAACATTAGGAAATTACAGACAGGCTTGAGATAAGTGTCAGACGGAACAGATGAAGCAAGCCCCTAAGCCATCTGAGAAATATTAATAATGTAAGATTGCAGAGACCAAATCTTTGTTAGGGATAAAGGATGGGGGAAAGTAATGGGGACCTTGGCGCCCCCTTGTGTTGCAAGATAAACTTGCAACTTCATTTATTTGGTTGTTTTGTGGGTTTTTTTTTTTTTTTTTTGAAGTTGTAATGGCCCTCATCACTGAGCTTCACAAGCAATTGTTTTCCTAAATCATTGAAAGCCCTCTCCAGTCAGTCTCTTCCCTCTCATCAATAACTTTCAAGGCCCCAATTTGAAAAACGACTCTTATTCATTCCGTTTTCATACCCACGCATTCCATTCCAGGAAATTGGCAACCTCCCAACACAGAGCCTGGATACTCTCTCCTTGAGGTGGGAACTTAAGCAAATGGATTTTCATTTCCCGCTTTAATCTTAGAGGATGAGCTTGTATTTACTACAAAGCTTAATTCCCTCCAGCAAGCGTTTTCCTTCTGCAACTTGCTTGTTGCTGCCATTTTTTATAACTTAACCCCTATGCATTCCTCCAGCCGCTCCTTTCCCTGCTTGGCAATCATCAACTCTTCTGACCTAACACTAGTTAACCTGCTAAACCATCTTTACAGTAATTTGCTAGGAAAGACTGGACCAGAGACATAAATAATACACCTCAATATACAACAGCTCAGGCTTAATTTGTAGGCAGAATTTCATTTGATGGTAAGAGAAGAAAAATATATATATACATGGAGTGTGTTTGGGGAGGAGATGGAGTAGGGAGAAAACTTCTTGGTGGCAGGAGGACCTGGTGAGAACTGTAGTGATTTGTTTACTTGGATTTGCCAACTGGTCCGATGGACACCGGGTCTGTTTGCACTTGAGCATCCAACATCCGCTTTGGTCCCTGGAGAAAAACATAAAGAAGCTGTAGACTTTTGAAGATCTGTAATATCAACAGCCACAATTGCCATTTATTTATTTGTTTGTTTATTTTTCTTTTTGAGGTTTTATTTATTTCTTTATTTTTTTAATTTTAACTTACACATTGTAATTGTACATACTTATGAGGTACAATCTGATATTTTGATACATATATGTTGTATAATAATCAGGTCAGGGTAGTTAATGTATCAATCACCTTATGCATTTATCATTTCTTTGTAACAAAAACATTCAAAAGCCTCTCCTCTAGCTATGACGTAATCTACAAAACTTAACCGTTCACCATAGTCACCTTACTGTGCAATAGAACATCAGAGCTTATGTCCCCATTTAATTGTAATTTTGTACCTGTTGGCCAACCTCTCCCTGTTTTTCCTTCTCCCCTCCCCTTTCCAGTTTCTGGTAAACACTGTTCTATTCTCTAACTCTAAAATATTAACTTTTTTTTTCTTTTTTTTCCTTTTTGTCTTTTTTACTGACCGGTAACGGGATCGCAACCCTCAGTGTCGCGCCCGCACCGCGCTCAACCAGTGAGCGGGAACCGGTCTCCACATGGTATCCGAACCCTCGGCGGGAGTGCCGCCGCGCTCCCAAGCAGTGCACTCTCCAGTGCGCCACCGGGCCGGCCCTCAACTTTTTTTTTTCTCCTTAGATTCCGCATGACTGAGGGTCACGTGGTATTTATCTTTCTGTGCCTGGCTCGCTTCTCTTATAATGTCCTTCAAATCCACCCATTGATGTAAATGACAGGATTTCATTCTTTTTCATGGCCAAATAGTATTCTGTCATGTACACACCACTTTTTTTTTTTTAATCCATTCATCTCTTGCTGAACACTTAGGTTGATTACATATCTCGGTTACTGTAAATTGTGCTGCAATAGACATGAGGGTATAGTTATCTCTTTGACATACTGACTTCATTTCCTTTGGGTATACACCCAATTATGGGATTGCTGGATCAAATGGTAGTTCTATTTTTAATTGTTTGAGGAATTTCCATGCTGTTCTCCATAACGGCTGTACTAGTTCACTTTCCCGCCCACAGTTGCAAGTGTTCCCTCTTCTGCACACCCTCGTGACTGCCATTTATGTAGCACTCTGTGCTCAGTGTCATGCTAAATAAACTTATCTCATTCACGAGTGGTGGAAAACAATGTTCCTCAATCAGATGCCCAGCATCAATGTCCAGTTATATTACTTTCTAGCTTTTTGTGAAATCTTGGACAAATTACTTAACTCCCTGTGCTTCAGTTGCTTCATCTCTAAAACGGGACTGCGAAAGCTTATCTTGGAGGGTTGTTCCCAAGAGGAAGTGAGCGCATACTTGTGCTGCATTTAGAACAGTACCTGGGTGTGGAAAACCCCCATCAACCTAGCTCATTTTAGTCACTCCCTTCCCAATCACCAACGAGCCGCATCACCTTGTTTTATTGTCTTACAAAACATGTCACCATCTGAAATGCTCGTATTATCTATTTTGCTTGCGTAACACTTGCCTCCACCACCAGAATGGGAGCTCCATGGGGTCTGTCTGCTGTGTATGCGGTGCCTTGCGAGTGCCTGGTGCTTGCTTAGTGCTGACTGGATGCGGGTGAAAGACTGCCACAAGGCATGCACCGTTATTATTATTGTGTTATCTTTTCTGTCAAGTATAACTTACGAAAAGTAAAACCAACACTCTCCATATATAGTTCTAGAAATTTAGACCAACACAAATATGTAACCACCACCACAACAAAGATATCACACAGTTCCATTGCCCCCAAATCCTCCTTGGGCTCTTTGTAGTCAACGCCTTCCTACCTGCAGACCTTGGCAGACCACTGATCTGCTCTCCATCACTAGGGCTGTGCCTTTTCCAGGATGTGAAATCAGAGCATACGGCCTTTGAGCCTAGCTTCTCTCACATAGCACAGTGGACTTGACATTCATCCACGCTGCTGCATGTACCAGAGGTACTGTTCTTGTTGGCCCTATTTTACAATATAGGGTAGTATAGTATAATGTAAGATCGTATATACAGTACAATCAAGTATACACAGAGTATAGTATAGAGCAGCATAAGACAGCCAAGTATATATAGTACAGTATAGATATATATATATATAGTATAGTGCAGTGTTGGATAAGGTAGCATGGGATAGTATAAGATAGTATACATTTAATAGTATATATATATAATATAGTCTAGAGTGGTAAATATAGTATAATATAGTACAGCATAGAGTACAGTACAGTAAATATAGTATAGTGTCGTAGAGCATACTATATATAGTATAGCATGGTATATGGTATATATACTATAGAGTAGGAAAGTATAATATTGTAAGGTATATATAGTATAGTACATGCACAGGGTTCTGTACTATAATGTAAATATAGTAGAGTATACATAGTATAGTATATTATATATAATATAGTATATATAGCATATTATATTATAGTAAATATACTATAGTATATATAATGTATATAGGGTATATATATATAGTGTATGTATATAGTATAAACAGTATATAAATAGTGTAGTGCACTGTAGTATATATAGCATAGTATATTCTACTAGATAGTGTAGTGTAATATAGTGTAATTTATCACTGAAATCAGATCACTGAGCTTTGAATCTCAGACCTGCCACTTCCTTGCTGTGTGACATAGGTCAAGTTGATTAAGTTTCTGCACCTAATTTTACCATTGGTGAAATGGGAGTTCACAGGATGGCTCTGAAGATTAAATGCTAGTATATGTAACGTGCTTAGGACAGCATTTGTCACATAGTAAGTGCTGTAGAAGAGTTATGTAGTGGTGGTAGTTGGATTCATTCCTCCATTCAACAACATGTATCGAGTACCTACTACACAGAACACATTGCGTTAGTCTTTGGGAAGATGACTGAGGGGCTGCTGGTTAACTCAGTGGTTAGAGCGCAGCCTTGCAACACCAAGGTCAAGGGTTCAGTTCCTTGTACCTGCCAGCCACACACACACACACAAAAAAAAAAAGATAAAAAGATGACCGGACACCATGAGACACTGAAAGCTTGGGCTCAGGAGTCAGCCATAACTGGGTTCGAGGACCAATCTAGCGCTTTCCAGTTTTGTGACCTCCCATCAGTCCCTTACCCCTGTGAGTCTGCTTTTCAATCAAAGTAGCTGCTCTTAGTGCGCACCCAATCCGCATGGGGGTGGGGAGAGGAAAGAGGAGCTGAGTGGAGAGGATGTCACCAGGAGGCAAAGATCACACAGGGACTGGCCGGCCAGGAGCTCATTTCCTGTGGGTGACAGGAACTGCGATGGTTTCCTGGCTGGTGCCAGGTGTGGCTGCCAGCACTCCCCTCTCAGGAAGGGGGTCAGGCCACCTGGGGGGTGTGTCCGCTCAAAGGCCGTGGAGGCCTGATCTTTGGAAAGTGGCAGGAAAGCCCTCCCTCAATCCTCCACGCTGTGGTGGGGCTCGTGACAAAGGGAGGAGGCAGGAGCTGGGGCTGGGAGCCCTGGGATGAACCCTGCCTCTGCCTCTTAGAATGTGCTTGATGTCAGGCACAGGACACGACTCCTCGGAGACCTGGCTTACCCCTCTGTGAAGTGGGGAACGAACAGTCCTATCTCGAAGGCCTGTTGCCATCACCAAAAAGGAGATGTATGCAAAGGAACCCAGTGGAGGAGCCTGGCGTCTAGGTCTGTGGTTAGTGCCTCAAACCCATTCACTTCTTGTTGAAGGCCTGTTGCCATCACCAAAAAGGAGATGTATGCAAAGGAGCCCAGTGGAGGAGCCTGGCGTCTAGGTCTGTGGTTAGTGCCTCAAACCCATTCACTTCTTGTCACCTCTGCAAGTGTCCCCAGGCCAACTGCCATCAGCTCTCCCGGGTAGCTCTGGACATGCATTAACTGGGCTCCTATTTCTGCCCTTGCCCTTCAATGCCATTTCTCCACTGCAGCAGGGAAAGATATCTTTAAAAGTTATGGACAGGGTCCAACACCTCCTTCTTTGCACCCGTTAACAGCTTCCCAGTTGAAGTGGGATTATGTCAACATTCTCTGCACAGCCTGCGCAGCCACACGAGCTGGTCCCTGCCACGGCTCTGATCTCACCTCCTTGCGTTATCCACCTTGTTCCCCGCACCCCAGCAACCAGGGCTCCTTTCTCTTCCTCAAACACAGAAGCTCACTAAGCTCCTTCCCACCCCAGGGCCTTTGCCAGTGGCTGTCCTTCCTCCGGCAGTGAAGAGCCTGCTCTCTTCCTGTTCCTGTCTCACCTCAAATGCTATCTGCTTAGGGTCACTTTCTGGATCCACCAGTTCAAAGTAGCAACACACACCCTCCCCCTCAGCCCAGGCAAACTCCATCATGTTCCCTGTTTATTTCCCTCAATGACTTCCCACACTTACATTTTTGCTTGTTAATTTTGTTTTTAATTTTTTAATTTTAATTTTTTAAAAATTTATCTACTTTGTAGTCTTATGCTTTCCCACTGCAATGTGAGCTCCTGAAGTTAGGGGCTTTGTCCCCTTTGTTTGTTGAATCCATCCCCAGTGTCTAGCTCAAGGCTTGGCAAGTTTTCTATAAAGGGCCAGATGGTAGATACCTGAGGCTTTACAGCAGGCCATACAGTGTCTGTTGCAAGTACTCAACTCTGATGTTTTAGTGTGAAAGCAGCCACAGACAATATGTAAATGAATGAACATGGCTGTGTTCCAATAAAACTATTCACAAAAACAAGGGTGCAGTTTGCACACCCCTGGTTTAGCTCAGTGTCAGGAATCTACAAGGCATTGTACAAATATCTCTTAAATGAATGACTAGATATTAGTCATCATCTGACCTTTTCCACACCATCTTTCTTTTTCAGACTTCCCACCTATTGCAGATACTGGCTTCTATTACAGTAATTAAAAGCCAAGATGTAAGTCATCCTCTGAGTATTACTTTAAATACATGATCCTCTAAAATAAATCACATGCTGGGAGAAAAAAGAAACTAAAAGAAACTCAAATATTTCCCCTAATTCTTCATTTCTGGTTCTTTAGTAACTTGCTACTCAAAGTATGGTCCATGGCCCAGCATCTTCCTCACTAACCTAGGAACTTGTTAGATGTTCAGAATCACAGGTCTCACCTCAGAACATAATCACAATGTGCATTTTAACTAGATCCCCAGGTGATTCATGTGCACAGTATATTTGAGAAGCCCTATGATAGCAAATCCAACAGCCCCTCACCTGGGTGGGTAAAGTATTTCTCTTAAGGCTACAAACTGCCATTCTTGGTTTCCATGAACATCTGGACACCCCACATCAACGAAAACATTGCAAAGCCTGCATGATTAGTGTGAGGTCTGTGTCATGTCCAGAGAGAAGGAAACTAACAAGGAACAATACATTTTGTGGGACAGGAGAGAAAAACTATGTGTGAGTACATTTTAGATGAGCACTGAATACATATTTGTGGAAGAAAGATGGAAGAAAAAAGGAAGGAAGAAAGAAAGGAAGGAATTTCAATTTTTTAATATGTAAATCAGATTATTAATGAGTGCCTAGTCTCAGTGCCTCAATCTGCAAAGTTGGTATTTTTTAAACATGCAAGTAGAAATCGTAAGTGTGATTGAAGGTGAGCACAACATTTCATTAGAGGATAATAATTTCAAGTAACTTATTCTAATTTCATACATCATATTTTAATATCTATTATACTTTAATCTTATCCATTCATCCTTTTGTTTGTTGAGCACCTACTGTGTACTTGGTCCTATTCCAGGTGCTTGAGATACAGCTGGGAACCCAAAAGATGAAGCCCTGACCTTGTGGAGCTGGAAGTCTGGTGGTGGAGCTGGGCTTCCATTTTGTGGAGGAGATTAAAATAAGCAAATCTAAACTACCTTTTTCACCAGTCTGCCTAAGTCACCAGTAAAAAGCAATTCCTCTGCATCTAGCAGCCATCCAGGGGGTAACACAATTGTACATTTATACCCATGTTAAATTAAATAAGCAGGAGGCCATTGGCCTGAAGCAGTTTCCTTCCTTGGAGTTTCTAGGTAACAAACTGCAACCTAACTTAGTATGTAAATAAACCAAAACTTAATTTAGGAGTATATTTTTTGTAACAAAAAACTGGGTTTCAGGGCCGAGCCCGTGGCGCACTCGGGAGAGTGCAGCACTGGGAGTGCAGCAGTGCTCCCGCCCTGGGTTCGGATCCTATATAGGGATGGCCGGTGCGCTCACTGGCTGAGTGCAGTGTGGCCGGTCTCAAAAAGGACAAAAAAAAAAAAAAAAAA